GTGGCCCAAACCATTTTTGAAAAGGTATCTATTGCAACATGTACATATTTGAGGCGACCAAATCTCACAGGCTTGAAGACCCCTAGGGTTAACACCTAAGCCTAGAGTGGTTCCATATTGACTGCATTGTGGACAGGATTTCACAATGCCTTGTGCATCTGTTAAGCTGATGTTAAATTGTCTCTGCAAGGCTTTTGCGGCTTGATGAAAGAGAGCATGACTCTCTCTCGCAGCTGCGAAAGAGTCTCCTGGTGCTGCTACAACAGGACTGACGAGCGCATCAGCTTTTGCATTGCCTTCTCCAAGACCTAATTCTGTTTGATGACTGCGGATGTGAATGATGCAACAGGGCTCATTTCTGTCCTCTATAGCTCTTTTGATCTGAAAGAATAGTTGACACAATCGCTTATTATCCGGTGGCTTGATAAGGGCATCTTCAATACGTTGTACCACTCCTACCACGTACAATGAATCTGATACAATGTTCAACTTACTGTCTCGCCACTGAGACAGTGCCCATGCGACAGGTGTAAGTTCTAATGTCTGCAGTGAGTCGTGTGCATCTCCATCTATAGTTTTACTTCTCCAACTCGAGCCTTCTTGCCAGGTACAGGCTGCTTTTTTCTGCCGACTTCCTGCATCTGTATATACTGTAAGGCCTTTTACTGGCTGCTTCACGACTTTGGGCTGTTGCAGCCACCGCTGTTTTAAAATAATCTGCAGGCGTGGATCTCGAGGTTGCCTGTTGTGTACAGTCCCTGGATAGCTGAGCAACACTAATTGAATTGGTTCTGAATGTCTCAGCATCCACTCAAAATTTTCTATCGTTATTGGCAGACTGATATGTTCCGGCTCAGTACCACTGATTTCCACAATTCGTGTTCTCGCCTTTTTGATAAGCAATTGCTTCTGTCCTTTTCCCAAATACTCATTGGTGGCGTATATGGCGTAAAAATCCACTCAAGAATCGCTAAAGGCTCTGCACATTTCTTCGCTGATTGCACTAACTGTATCTTCTTGGCAGGCTGCTTGGCACCTTGACGGCTCTTAGATGGGCCTTCTCCCCCTTTCTCTTTTTGCCAAGCAGGCCACTGGAATATGATAGCACATGATGCAACAGAGTGGTTACAAGTCAGAAGTCCTAAAGGCACATCTGGCAATCTTCTGTCTGCTAGTGTTGAAAGCAGCTTCTTCCCTAGATAAATGAGACAGCACTTCTGATCTGCAGAAAGAGTAATTGGAGTTTTCGGGTCTATACCTTTCAAAAGGCTCATTAAGGGTTCCATCTCATCATTTCGGATACCAGCAATGGATCGTACCCATTGCAGATCTCCAACAAGCCTTTGTGCATCATTAAGGGTGCGAATCTCAGTGTTTAATTCCAATTTTTGTGGGCGGACTGATGAGGATGTCAGAATCCACCCTAGGTACTTCCATGGGGCCTGTTTTTGGAATTTTTCTGAGGCAACCACCAAGCCTTTTGCTGCAAGCTGGGCAGTGATAAATGTGAGATCTTTGTCTTGAAATGGATTACGTTGACAAAACAAGATGTCATCCATGTAGTGATAAATAATTGTCTGGGAGAGCTTGGCCCGCACAGGCATCAGTGCCCGGTGCACAAACAGTTGGCACATTGTCGGGGAATTTTTCATCCCTTGTGGAAGGACCACCCACTCAAATCTCTGAGACGGACTTTCTTTGTTGATTGACGGCAAAGTAAAGGCAAATCTCACTGTGTCTTCTTTCTGCAGGGGTATCGTGAAGAAACAGTCTTTCAAATCTATGACTAGAAGATACCATTCTTGTGGCAGCATTGTGGGAGAGGGCATCCCTGGTTGTAATGCTCCCATTGCCCACATCTGGTCATTTACTTTGCGTAGATCATGCAGCAATCGCCATTTTCCAGACTTCTTTGGGATGACAAAAATTGGAGTATTCCATGGGCTGAGCGATGGTTGGATATGCTTTGCTTGTAGCTGTTCTTTGACAAGTTCATGCGCAATTGCTAGCCGCTCCTGGGATAGAGGCCACTGCTCAACCCACACAGGCTCATTAGATTTCCACTGAATCTTTGGTGTTGGCGGCCCATCAACAGTGGCGACTACTGAAAAGGCAATTGATTGGGAAGGGTTAGTGTTGCCCCGAGCTGGCTGAGAACATCTCGACCAATGAGCCCTCCAAGGCTTCCAGGCAAAGGCATGACGTATGGACATAAGGTGGTAGTCTGTCCTTCAGGAAATCAAAACTGGACGGGGTGTACACTTCTTAGCGGCGTGGAGTATCCTCCTACACCTTGCACCGAGCTTAAGGCTCTGTGGAGAGGCCATTCTCTTGGCCACCAGACTCGTCTGACGATGGTAACATCAGCTCCTGTGTCTAGCATCATCTTGACTCTTTGCTGCTTTGATCCGTGGCACAGGGTGCTTTCAATTACTGGTCGATGACTCATTTGTTGAACAAGATTCACCACTGTGTCTCCTGTTGACCCAAATCCTTTGGCTCCGTGTCCAGGAGCACTTCGAAAAATGTCTTTCTCAGTTGCCACCTTTTGAAATTACACCAATTGAGCAATTCTTGTTCCCTTTTTGATTGTAAGTGGAGAGGCTAGGGTGTAAGCACACATTTGGATTTCACCAGTGTAATCAGCGTCGATGACTCCCGTGAGAACAATAAGTCCTGCAATTCCAGCAGATGATCTCCCAGTCAACAAAGCACCAAGTGCACTGGTAACAGAATAAACAGGTCCTGTAACTCCAGTTGGGATTTTGCGGATGGTGCTGTCGATGAGTGTGACATCTACTGATGCTGCCAAATCAATTCCCAGGCTTCCCCTTGTTACTGATGGGTTGAGCTGCTGAATAGAGTTGGGCCGGCAACTTGCTTCTTTAATTCCTTGGACAATTATTGTCCTTAGGTCCTGCATATTGGTTCTATGCTCCTGCTGTTGCTGACTCCAATTTGGGTCCTCCATCGGCCACTTAGTATCTGCCTGCGGCCCCTGGGCATGCTGTGCATCCCAAATCTGCATACCAGCTCGCCTGATCATATTTCTCTCTTCGGCCGTAAACAAAATTTTCAAAATAGCCTGCAATTCCCCCCACGTGTAAATACTAGGACCTAGGAATTGATCCAATCTTTCTGCCACCCCCAGGGGGTCTTCTAGGAGGTTCCCCATTTCTTTCTTAAAGTCCCGTACCTCACCTGAATTCAGAGGAACTGAAATAAAGTCTACTGCTGGATTCGGGCCTGGCCCTGCCACGGGTATTTCTCAGAGTGGATACAGGTTTTGTTGTTGCGCCCACCTCTGGGTAATAGGCCCTTGTATATTATCAACAGGCTCCTGAGGGTTTTCTGGTGGTGCATTGGGGGGTGGTGCATTGGGGGGTGGTGGATTTTGTGGAGGCAGATATGGGGGAGGTATAAGGGAAATTTCTTCCTCCACGTTCTTGCCCTTTTGTTTCTCCTTTAAAGGAAACAAGTACGTGCTCGGACCAGTCAGCCATACGACTGCATAAGCACTTTCCTCTGGACATGGGGGGGTTTTGTCATTTACCCACAAGTTCAATTTTTGTCTTACCCAATCCTCTGAAGACCCAAATATCGGCCAAAAAACATTTTTAGAAATTTCCTTCCCCCCCCATTCTATCATACAATAATGAATCATTTTTGCTTTATCCTTATCCCCTGTGGTAGGATAATGTTTCCAATTCTCCAGCATAAATCCCAACGGGCTATCCTTCGGCACAATAGGAAGTTTAACGGGAATCTGGGACTTACTCTTCCTTTGTCCCATCCTCTAGACCTCTCAACGGGCTATCCCCTAGCACCGCTGGAAACTTAATGGGAGTCTGGGGCTTGCTCTTCCCTTGTCCCACCCTCTGAAGCGCCTTCCAATCAACAGTACCCACTCGCTTCCCCTGGTTCGTGGCTCACGCCCTCGCGGGCAATGAGAACTGCACTACTGAGGGTCCACACTCACTTGGGGAATCCGAGCTGCTGGTCCCCCTCTCACACAACCACACAATCACTGTGCACCTCCAGGAAAACCGACCCAGACCGAACGGAATCCTCCACAGATACTCACACGTCCCGCGTCTTCATCCGGACCTTTGTGCACAAAGTTTATAGGGTCTGCCGGCCTCCTCCTTTGCCTAATACCTTGAATTTAGGTTCATCAGTGCAACCGAGGCAGGAACCGGCCCTCCGGGCCGCTAAATACTAGCGGGGCGCCCCCCGGTAGTGCCGAGAATCTGTCTTACAGATCGCATCCGAGTCACGGCACCAATTGTGATAAATTTATGCACCCAAATCGGTTTGGTCAATTGAAAATTTATTAATTAGAGCAAGCAAGCAAGCAAGGTATAGGCAAAAACAGTGCTGGGCGACAGGGGAGCCTCTGTTCCGTAGGGCTCCGCCAACTGCCACACCCAAACCAGTTCCTGCTCTTCCTTTTATGCATCTTTTAGCTGGTACTCTGCACATGTATCACTTGCTTCTAGGGGTCTTCTTCTGCTTTCTGGTAGTCGTGGTGATGAAAGCTGACAGTTTCCCCCAGGTGGGTCTCTGACCGCAAACCCCTCCCGATATGGTGAAGGTGCCTCGCTCTGGTCGGGCCTCCCCGATGTTCTTGCAACATGCTTTAAGCAAGTATAAACCACAAGCAAGCACAAACCACAATATTTTAACATGCCTTAAGCAAGTATAAACCACAAGCAAGCACAAACCACAATGTCTTAACATGCCTTAAACAAGTAAAAACCAAGGTTACACATAGTACATTTAATTTCATTACCAGTAATTCTCCATTCTACTTTATTTAATTTCATTACCAGTAATTCTCCATTCTACTTTCTTAGTGAACAAAATGCCCTTGTTTTTATCACACCTGCAACTAATGGGTAAAAATTCCACGGGCAAGACAACAAAAAAAAGGACACCTAACCCTCAACACAAACTCCCTTTGGGCTTTACAGAGCTCTTTTACATTTTGGTAGGAGAAAGGCTGGTAGTGTCTATTTGCCCTGCTTTTACCAGTATATTTCACAGGAGCGGCTGAGAGTATGGCTTCCTCTTTCTGATCCCCAGGGTCCTCATCCCCAGGGTCCCATCCCCTGACCCCCACCCCCCAAGTACTGGGCAGGGGCCCAGCCCCCTCTCACCCTTGGGGTCTGGGAAGGGGACCAGCCCCTCCCCTCCCCCCATGGGAGAAGGGAAGAGGGCTAACCCCAACTCCGTGGGAACAGGGCGGGGTAGCATGGGAACCAGGAACAGGAAAGGGGTGGGACAGTCTGGGATGGAGGAGCAACCGTGGGAACCAGGATTGCAACACCTGGAGGCAGGGCTGCAGGATGATATCATGCAGGGCAGGAACATGGTGGAGGAGGAGGGGGTATCCAAGGGAAGGAAAAGGCTGTAGGAGGGGGAAGGGATGGGACATGCAGGTAAAAGGGATTGTGGGAAGAAGAAAGTTAAGATGGAGGGTCCACCATGTGGCTGGCGCCATCTTGGATCCCAGCTATGCAGTCGCCATTTTGGGGCTAGGGGGTCATCACCTTTAAAGCTAACAGAATGCTGAAGCCAAGGAGTAGCAACTGGGTTAGAGGGATGCAGGGAAGGTTCTCTGTCAGTCTGCACACAAGTGCCAGAGCTGGGGTAATGGAAAACCGCTCAGAATATTCACGGAGTCCTCATAGAGATAAAAGTGAACTACGCTTTATTTCTATGTTTGGCACGCTCTTACAGGGTCCTACAGGGTTCACACAGCTTAACAAGCTACTATTGGCTAATACATTTTGTCTATCATTCCTTTTCTTGTACACATCATGATTTTCTTCATTCTCGCTGCTCCAGGAAAGTTCCAAGGACACTATTTTTGGAATTGTTATCTGGGTTGAAAGCTGGGTTGTGCAGATAGGCTTTTACTAAAATATCATGCTCTTGTTCTGTTAAAATATTCTCTCCACTGGGGTGCTGAGCGGGAGGCAGGGGGCCTGGAAAACAGCGGCTGCGCCGGGTGTCCTTGCATCTTTTGGGGTGCCCCATGAATCCCCTTAGCTCAGGGGAAGAGGGTTTGGGAGAAGGGGTAGGGGAAATGGGGGGTGTCTGCCTTGACCGTCCATTCACTTCTCTCTTAGCCAGTTCTTTACAAATTAAAAGAAACAACGGGAGGAACTTAGAAGCAATTTTGTCTCCCTGTTCCACTTTGAGAGTTAATACGTTTATGATTCTGTCCCAGGAAGAGACAGAATCCACATCTTGCAGGATAAACTGGGGAAAGTGGAGAGATAGCCGACAAACAAACTGCTTTAACCGTGTCCTATAAATCTTAACATTCCCACCACCTAAAGTATCCTGAACTTGGGAATAAATACTTCTTTCCTGTGCAGAGAGCTGAGAGCCCATGCTGATGTTAAAAGCTCTCTGCGCAGTTCAATCTACCTTCCTTTACAGCAAAATGCCACAGCCAGCCCTGGAAGGCCTCTGCAGTTTCCTTCTCCCACACACACTGGGGTAGGAGGTGAAACTGAGTGGCAGCAAAACTGCACAGCTTTCAAACTTCATACAGCAGCCATTCATGAGCACCACTGCCACCAAAACTGCTGGAGCCCTGTGTCAGAGCCAAAACCCAAGACCCCCCTAATTGGGTGTCCTGGGGTGACTTTATGATGCATGTATCCCAAATCGCCTTGTTTATGTTACATATTAAGTTCTGCACTTTTAAGACTGGCTCTGAGAGAGAAAGGGGGGAAGAAGAAGCAGTGCACAGTTTGTGTTCAGAAAGAGCCCTCACTGTCCCCCATCCTACTCCTGGATTGTGCTGTCTGCAGCATGGACAGACAGAGGGACAGAGCTCTCCTTTGCTTTTAGTTAGTTTTTAGCTAGCTGAGGCAGAGAAGTTCCTTGAACTATTTTTTTTCTTTTTTTCTTGGATCTATTCAAACCTGCTATGGACTGAAAAAACCCAGACAAACCCTGGGAGCTCACGCCTGTGGCCCACTAGGGCCTGGGTCTTGGCACTTTCCAGCACTGGAGGGACTGATAAAACCTTAGTGAGCCAAGCTACGCCACATGAAAAGGACTTTTTTTTCCTGGATTTGCCATCTCATTGAACAGTGAGAGGTTTTATTGTTTAATGTTATTCAATTTCTGTTAAATAAACAGGCTTTTTCCACATCTCTCCAAAGAAATCTCTTTTCCCTAACCAGTTGGAGGGAGGGGCCGCTTTAATTTGTTTTTCTGGGGAGACCCCATTTAGAAATTCTCTCCCAACACCAGACTACTGGGTCACCCCCATTACTTCTGTGCTCTTCTTTCCATTTCCTGGACGGGGTAGGAGTTTTCCATCCACATTGTCCTGGGGTGACTTTACCTTTTTAAGATAGCTTTGGGAGCTAAGGAAGTTGAAACTGTTGGACGCTGATGGGAGTTTTTTCTCTTGACCAATGACTAGCCATTTCTGAGAAATGGCAGCAGTTTTAACCATTGGGAAGTGAGATCAACCTGTGAACACCTACCTTAAGATGTAAGTCCGGGAATGCCGCGGCAGTGGAGGTGGCAGGGGTGCCGCGACTACCCTGAAGAAGTGGTCCGTGGTTGGACTGCCCAGGGGCACAGGCACATCCTCTGCCCGGCGAGTGATCTCAGCTCAGTGGTGGTCTGCAGGCAGCATGGAAGAAGGGACTAGAGCGCTGTGCGGCATTCCGCAGAGAACTGGCCTTTATTAAAGCAGGGTCCTCGGCAAAGGGAGCCAGTGACAGCGGCTTCTCCAAACGGGGGAAAAAACCTGGGGTATTTATAGGGAAGGAGAGGGACGGGGGAAACTGGGATACATATATCGGTGTGGGATGGCAGGGGAGATACCAATGGAGTGTAACAGTTTAACATAACTAACTCAAAGATCTCTGGGAGTCACACTTTACTCTCTCTGAGAGCAAAGTGCCTTGCCTAGGGACAATCCCTCCAAGGGAGAGC